ACTAAAGAATATATATATTTCATTAAATGATATTGATTCATAAAAAAATAAAAATTATGCAAAAGAAAAGTAAAAATCTTTTTGCTATTTTTTAAACATTTAGAAGGCAATATTTAGATAAGAAATAAAATGATATGTTAATGTTGGGATTAGACTTCACCAAACCTTACTCTCATATATTTAGAACACTCAAATCTTCTTTCGCATTTAATGTTAATATTTACCACTAGTTTATTCAAAACCTAATTCCTTAGAAGAAAGAGTCTAAGTTCCCTTATTAAGCATCAATCCCTTCAATATGTAATAAACAAACTTGCATTAATAAAAAAGGTTTTAACACAATTAATGGGTAAGTTCTATTCTTATATATAAGTTCCATTAGGTATTTTGTTCCAATCCAATATTACAAAAGATATTTTTCAATACCTAATGAATCAAATATCATATTATGGTTTGTCAATCCACAACTAACATTAGAATTAGAAACAAAATACTAACATTGAAATAGAAAGAGATATCAACATCTATATATTAAACACGAACGTCTATCTCACATGAGTATTTTTAGAAGTTTTTCTTCAATGAGAGGATTTATAGGAATTTTTTTTAACTTTTTATCTAATTTAATTTTTATTTATCATAATTTTATGAATTAAAAAATAATAATAATTTAAAATAAATTATCAAAAAAAAAAATTTATAGTACAAATTAGTTATCATAAATCTAAAATATAATTTATATGTTAAAAATATTTGTATATAATTTAAAGCATAATTTATATATTCAAATATAATATTTATTTATATACATAATTAATTATAAATTTTAATTATATATAATAAACATGTTTGCTCGTACTAAAATATTAGTGTATATATATGTATATGTGTGTATACACATACAAATTACGTGAGAGTTTAATTAATTACATTTAACTCAAACAAGATAAAATTATCTCCTCACTGTCACAAAGCACAAAAAAGAAAATAAATGGATTCATGGAAGATGGGATTTCAAGGAGAAACTTCAAAGTGGTGAAGAAAGCCTTAATAACACTTGGAAGACCCCAAACTCATCTTAGATGAGATGTGATGTCCAAACTCTCAAAGAAAGAGAAATAAAATAAATCAAACGTGTCATGTAATTAAAATAATGTCTGATACAGGCTAACCCACACTAGACATATATAGGCACACAAGTAAGAGAAGGACCCCCTCTACCTAGGTCACATCGAGTGTGAGTATAGGTATGTTGTCAAGACACATTGAGCATGTTTAGAATGGCTTATGATGTTGTAGAATCTTCAAGGAGACCTGCGTGAGTTCTTTCATCAAATTCCACTTAAAAGGAATTTAATTAGTCAAATGTGTGCCAATAATATCCAAAATATGTTACATCTTGAAGATTTATCCTAAATAGTAACTTAAAATTGACATTATAAAGTGATAGTTTTTTTATTATTGATTTGTTAGAAGGTAAGAGTTTATCGTTTCATTATATTGAATTGACTCCATTTAATTTTGTTTTCATAGATATATATGTTTACTTTTTCAAAAATTAAAGTAAAAAATAATATTTTATTTCATGTATATTGATGTTAATGTTTTCAAATTTTATAGAAGTAGAGTTACAATGATTATGAAAGGTTAAATTGTTTTAAAAAAATTATTTTGATAAATACTAAATTTAAAAATATTTATTATTGTGATTTAAATTTAATAAATTCAAATTATATAGTCCGTTAAACCTTTCAATGATATTTTTGAAGAAAATTTATATAGAAACAATTTTTATTTTAACATTATAAACAAAAAAATAAAATATTCAAGAATCAACTAGTTGTCAAGATGTCATAACTTTTGAATATTATTCAATTATTTAAAGTAAAATTTATTTACTTGGTATTAAAGGTTATTTTTATAAAACTAATTTGTGCTATACGGATATTTTTATAATAACATCATATCAATGTTTATCTTTCAAAACTATGTTTAAATTATAATAATTTTTTTAAAAAATAGTTATATTTATTGAATTAAGAAATAGATAAATAGTGAAGTAAAAATAGAACATCATTCAATTATTACATTATATATAAATCATTTTTTAATACAAACAATACTATATATTAACATGCTTCAAATATATATACATTTATTATAATAAGTTCAATAAATATATTAAAAAAGTGTAAAAAAAATATCAAACTCATTATTATATAAATTAATTTATAAATTTTATATAATCAACATTTTTCTATTATAAAATAAAAAAACAATATTTTAAAATTATAAAAAAAATACACTTACACACATTAAACTAATAAATATATAATTATTTTTTAATTATATTTATTAATTATTATGATATAATTTTTTTAAAAATTAAATATGCCGTACATCGCACATATAATCATACTAGATGAAACTAAAGTCATAATAAAAATTAAATTAAATTAAAATTAAAAGTATTCAATTATAATATTTAAGAGATTAAATTGGTTGGATTAAAACTTGACTATCAAAATTGTAATGCAATATTTGAATAACCAAAAATACATTAATTTAAGTGTAAAAATAAATTACATTAAAAATAAGGTTTTCATCGAGATCAAAGAGTGAAAAGATAAATCTTATTTAAAAACATATAATTACGTCAAATTCAAAATCGTATATATTTATATTTTAATCTTCATTATTTATATTAATTGAATAAAAGTATTTATTGATTTCATCTCTCCCACATAAACGCCCCCTCCCCCCAACCCCTTCGTCAACAATGACGTCGAAATTATTTGCAAAGATGTTCTAATATACAATATTAAAAAGTCAATTTTTCCTTGATATAAAATCAGTCTAGCTAATTGCAATTTGCACGCGGATTCTGCATATTATTTTATAAATTAAATTTGTAGTAATCAGAAGAATATGGTTGAATTTTGATATTATGAATTGCTGTTCAATGGTCAATGAGATCACTAATGATGAAATTTGTAGGTCACGGGGTTGACATACACAACTGGACAACATTGAACATCATGTCGTTATGTTATTTTCACTTTTAATTTATTCTTTTTTCCTTATCCAACTTTGAAGATCATTCCGTATCAGTCTGGTAGTTTACCTTAACATCACTGATTAAGTAATCATAGTTTAATTCATGACCCTTTTTTCTTCTTCTTAAATTTAAGATAAATTATGTTTAGTTTCTCAAATTTAAAATTGATCTTATTAATTTCTATAAAATTTCAAAAAAATTATTTTAATTTTTATACTTAAATTTTGATCCCATAAAAAATCCCTCATAAGTATGCATGCACCACCAAATATGAACCAAGTTTATGTGTAAAAGGTTAATACATGGATAGGAGATACTGCATAGTAAGATAGCTGAGATTAACCCATCGACTTGTTTGTGGAGCATGTTTAATCATTTCTATATATGTGAACTGACTTCGTAACCAAAAAAAATCACATTATTTATCATATATTAATATTAAAATTATATTTTAGAACATATTTGATTATAAGTGAAAAATTATAATTTTTGTAATGAGTTGGTGTTATGAAAAATTTGAAAAATATGATTTTAATTATATAATAGAAATCATCTAAAACGAAACTTGTAAACACTTATTCAAACATTATTTTATTTTCTAAAACATGAACTAGGAAGGATATGTGCCCTAACTGGTTTAAAATTAAAATAGAGAAAAGTTTCTATATTAATCAAACGACAACCCAGTAGAAATGCCATGTTAGATTTTATAATATCAATTAAATTAAGTTGTTTTACAAATAACGTGTTATGAAACAAAAACAAAGAAGGACATACTAACAAGTTATTTGACGAGTTAATGCTTCTTTGAATATATTTATTTTAGAATACTAGTTTAGTTGTTTCCTTGCTAACTTGAACATGACATCCAAACACTTGTAACACCGGTAATGTTGGCGCACCGTTTTTTGAACATGCATAGTAATAATATAAGAAGATGATGTATGATGTTTGTCGACAACCCAAATCTTTCTTCTTTTTTATTTTTTAAATTTTAGCACAGAATTTTGCATGTGTGGAATTATTAATTTACTCGTTCCAAGCCTCCAAGGTGACGCTTGAAAATTCTAGTCAACGACAGATTCAGTGAACATAATAATGCATGGGGGAGCCTCTGTCCACTATTGATCCAAATATAAATTATTATTCTATGAAAATTTTCATTTTACCAATATTTTTGACTCTATAAAAACATTTACCATTTTTTTATATACAAACTAAATGTTCTTAAGGATTATATCGATTTTCAAACTCTTAATTCGATGTTAGTTTTGACTAGTAAAACTCTTTAAGTGAGTTCTTGAGGATTATTTCTGTTTTCAAACTCTTACTTATTAGTTTGATATAAAAAGAGTCATTAAAACTTTTTGATTAATTAAAATACGAATAATGAGTTTAAAAAAGGCATTTGATGTAGTAAAAAATACCTATGAAATATGGATCTTGAATCTGAACATGAAAAGTAACTTTTTTGTTGTTTGCTTAAGGAAAAGTCAAATAAACTGTGATGTGGAGTATGGACATGTACTCATGATCATCACGTGACATAATCAATGATGTCAACCTTCATTTGGTTCCTTTCCTCAAAGGAAGCGAAAGAGAAAATAAGCTAAGCCATGTGTACGTGGAGCTGGCATGGTTCTGGCCACCTTCTTCGACGCATCCCTCACTTGCATTTACTGATCCGTGTTCCTTCTTCTCTCTCTCTCTCTCCCTCCCTATATATACTTCAACATATTCTATTATTTCTCATTCAACCAAAGAGAAAGGAACTGGGTCCTTTCAACCACATAAAATAAGCAAGACCAAACAAAATTAACTTGCCAAGTAACTTTGAATCATTTTTTCTTCTTCTTCTCCTCCAGATATAGAGTTGATTCTGGTAAACAGTTACCAAGTTCAACTGGGGTTGCATAAAGGTTCAGACTTGTTATCTGGGGGCATGGAGGGTGGTGGTAGTTTTAGGATTGGAAGTTCATCCATTTGGAGAAACAGTGACGTGGAGATATTCTCAAACTCATTCCACCAAGAGGATGATGAAGAGGCTCTCAAATGGGCTTCCATTCAGAAACTTCCCACTGTTGCACGTTTGAGAAAGGCTTTGATCACTTCTGAAGGAGAAGTCAATGAGATCGATGTACAGAAACTTGGGTTGCAAGAAAAGAGAGCTTTACTTGAAAGACTTGTGAGAACTGCTGAAGAGGATAATGAGAAGTTTTTGCTCAAGCTCAGGGACAGAATTGATAGGTCAGAATTCCACTCTCATTTCTTCTTATTCATTTTGGTAGAGGTGCCTTTGATGGAAATGAACTAATGGCTTTTCCCCTTTTTCCTTGGATTGGATGATATGATATCAGAGTTGGAATTAATCTTCCTACTATAGAGGTTCGGTTTGAGAACTTGAACATTGAAGCAGAAGCTCATGTGGGAACTAGAGCTTTGCCTACCTTCTCTAACTTTATGGTTAATATAGTGGAGGTAAGTATTGGTATCTACTTTTTAATATAGTGGAACTTGGTAAAAGAGATTCTAACTTGTCAATTTGGCTTCATTTTTTTGTTATTAAAGGGCCTGTTGAACTCTCTTCATGTACTTCCAAGTCGAAAACAACATATAAATATTCTCCAGGATGTTAGTGGAATAATAAAGCCTGGCAGGTACAAATCCAGATACTGTTTATTTATATCTCTTTGGGGGACAATGTCATAATTAGCCAGGAACTTTGGAACCAATTAACATAACTTGTTTTTCCGTTTGCTCCTCTCCAGAATGACATTGCTTTTAGGCCCTCCAAGTTCCGGGAAAACCACACTCTTGTTGGCCTTGTCTGGAAAACTTGATCCAAAATTAAAGGTTAGAACATTAAACCGAAGATATTAATTATTTTGCTTAACTAAGTTTTCATGTTTTTAGCTCTATTTTCTTATCTTAATGTTTAAATTAACATAGTGACTTCTTGATCAGTTCTCTGGAAATGTAACTTATAATGGTCACGGGATGAATGAGTTTGTACCTCAAAGAACTGCTTCTTATGTCAATCAAAATGATCTTCATATTGGAGAAATGACTGTTAGAGAAACCTTGGCCTTCTCAGCAAGAGTTCAAGGAGTTGGACCTCGTTATGGTTAGTTCACAGGAATACTTTGTTCTTACATTCATTATCAAATTCAATATTGAGACACATGTTGACATTTTACATGAAAATTAACTTTTAACTATGCCCAATACCTACAGACTTGTTAGCGGAGTTGTCCAGAAGAGAAAAAGAGGAAAATATCAAGCCTGATCCAGACATTGATGCCTACATGAAGGTAAGGAAGAGACCATATTTTGTCAGTGATCTATTTTACATATTTGAGTTGCATCCCATAGCTTTCCTTTTATATTGTTGAATAACTTTAATACCAATAGTTTTTAGCCTTTCAAACCAGAGACGGAGAAAAATATGACAGCTTAACAACTTTAATGTCAATAAATGTTTGATTTAGAGATTCGATTCATCTACTTGCTATTTACTTCAAAAGAAATTCACCAGTTCAAGAAACTTGGAATGAAAAAAAAATGTATGTGATAAATTAGTTGTAACAGCAAACAAAGCAGCTACTTCTAACCTCAGTTACATTTGCAGATAGTTATCTTGAAATCAAGTGCATCATCTATATCTTTTCCACACAAAATATAAATGAATGATAATTAAGTGGTTGTTCTTTTGATTCAATGCTCAGGCCATAGCATCTGAAGGCCAGAAGGCAAATTTAATAACAGATTATGTCCTAAGGGTAAGATTTATACTTTAAAATTCATGTCTGATTTTCATGAACTCATCATAATATTTTTGTTTAAAAGCGTCTTGTTTTTTCGCTATGCATTTGCAGATTTTGGGGCTAGAGGTTTGTGCTGATACCGTCGTAGGAAATGCAATGTTAAGAGGTATCTCTGGTGGACAAAGGAAACGTGTTACAACAGGTAAAATAACCTGATTTCAATCTTTTAAGTGTATCTTGTTTAATCATCTGAAAATTGATTATATGAGAGAATCCTTAATAATTATACATTTATAATACAGGGGAGATGTTGGTTGGACCAGCTAAAGCTCTTTTCATGGATGAAATATCCACTGGTTTGGACAGCTCAACAACTTTTCAAATTGTGAATTCACTCAAGCAATATGTCCACATTCTCAAAGGAACCACAGTCATCTCACTCCTGCAGCCAGCTCCAGAGACTTACAATCTTTTTGATGACATTATTCTACTCTCTGATAGTCACATTGTGTATCAGGGTCCCCGCGAACATGTGCTTGAATTTTTTGAATCAATGGGATTTAAATGTCCTGAGAGGAAAGGTGTGGCAGATTTTTTGCAAGAAGTAAGTGTCCTTGCGTTTATTATCAATGATTAATCTGTCTACACCGGTAAAAGTGAATTTTATGTGTTAAGAATTTAATCCTGACCATGTCAATTATGTTATAGGTGACATCAAGGAAAGATCAGGAGCAGTACTGGGCACACAAAGATCAGCCTTATAGATTTGTCACAGCCAAAGAGTTCTCAGAGGCGCATAAGTCATTTCATGTTGGGAGAAGTCTTGGTCAAGAACTTGCTACCAAATTTGACAAATCTAAGAGTCACCCAGCTGCATTGACAACCAAAAAGTATGGAGTGGGAAAATGGGAGCTGTTAAAAGCTTGCTTATCAAGAGAATATTTACTTATGAAGCGCAATTCATTTGTCTACACCTTCAAGCTTTGCCAAGTAGGTTTGGAAATTGGAAACTTTCATTTTTTTATCTTATAATCAAATGTTATTGTTGTCTTACTGGAAATTTTCCCCTCCTTTCAGCTTGCTGTATTGGCAATTATTGCCATGACCATTTTCCTCCGGACTGAGATGCACAGAGATTCAGTGACTCATGGAGGTATATATGTGGGTGCATTGTTCTATGGAGTTGTTGTGACTATGTTCAATGGATTGGCTGAACTTTCCATGGTTGTTTCAAGGCTTCCTGTTTTCTACAAGCAAAGGGATTATCTCTTCTTCCCTTCATGGGTATATGCTCTTCCTGCATGGATCCTAAAAATCCCCATGACTTTTGTGGAAGTAGGTGTTTGGGTATTCCTCACCTACTATGTCATTGGTTTTGATCCTTATGTTGGAAGGTAAGAAAGCTATGATTTTACACGCATACTCAGCAAAGTTTTGAATTAATATTTTCTCCCTTGTCTCATTTTCTATTTGAATCCTATAAATAAATAATGATATGTATTTTATATGTCAACCTAATGCAGATTGTTTAGGCAATACCTTATTCTTGCACTAGTTAATCAAATGGCTTCAGCATTGTTCCGATTAATTGCAGCAATTGGGAGGGAAATGACAGTGGCTCTAACACTTGGGTCGTTTACACTGGCAATCCTTTTTGCTATGAGTGGCTTTGTCCTATCAAAAGGTATTATGGATACAAAACAAAACATTCCCAGTCTTTTTCGCCTAGTGTTCTTCTAGACTAATGATGCTCATTTGTTCCCTTTATGCCCACAGACAACATAAAAAAATGGTGGCTATGGGGCTTCTGGATATCACCTATGATGTATGGACAAAATGCTATGGTAAATAATGAGTTCCTTGGGAACAGATGGAGACATGTAAGTTTTTAACTAATCTATATGTTTATTTTTATGCCTTATTTATCATATGAGTAATGAGTAATATAATATTTGGATACATTTTCTTATGATAGTTTCTACCTAACTCAACCGAGCCACTAGGAGTTGAAGTTTTGAAATCCCGGGGATTCTTCACTCAGTCATACTGGTACTGGATAGGTGTTGGGGCTTTGGTTGGTTATACATTGCTTTTCAACTTTGGCTACATCCTTGCTCTCACATACTTAAATCGTGAGTGTCTTCACCTTAAATGTAGAATAAACCGGCTAAGGTAGGCGTAGGCCTATGTACTAATATAACAAAATTGTTTATGCAGCATTTGGGAAAGATCGAGCTGTTATATCAGAGGAAACTCAAAGCAATGAGCAGAATGGTGGCAGTAAAAAGGGAACTAACGTGTTGAAGAACATAAAATATAGCCTTTCTCAGAACTCAAATAGAGGTAATTCATCTCATAACAACTGAAAATGATGTCTAGATCTGCATGAGTAATAATTGATTTTCAATTCACATAACACATTGTGGCTAACATTATTGGAGCTACTACACAGTGGGAAATGGCGAAAGTATAAGTGGAAGCACCTCTCCCCGCACTTTAGACGCAAATCATAACAGGAAAAGAGGAATGGTTCTTCCTTTTGAACCTCATTCCATCACGTTTGATGATGTAACATATTCTGTCGACATGCCAGTGGTAATGTAGAAACAAAACAAATAAATTGAAAAGTATTGTATTCTACTTTATAGCATTATTGACCTAAAAATTATTGAATACTTGCAGGAAATGAGGAATAGAGGTGTTGTTGAAGATAAATTGGTTCTTCTGAAGGGTGTCAGTGGAGCTTTCAGGCCAGGTGTTCTCACTGCTTTGATGGGTGTCACTGGTGCTGGAAAAACAACTCTAATGGATGTACTTGCTGGTAGAAAAACCGGGGGATATATTGGGGGGAATATCACAATCTCTGGATATCCAAAGAAGCAAGAAACATTTGCACGGATTTCTGGATACTGTGAGCAAAATGATATCCACTCTCCTCATGTTACTGTATATGAATCCTTGCTTTATTCAGCATGGCTTCGTTTGTCCCCAGAAATCAATGCTGAAACCAGGAAGGTCAGTATCCAAGTCTCACGCATTTTCTAGGCTTTTCAGATATTCTAGCACTTCCCTTCTCCGGGTTGAGCTGCAATGACAAATTCATACATATATGCAAATGCAAGTAGCCGAGTAAATAGGCATCAAAACTAGTAGTATTTAACATTCCTGGTTGGAATTATTATGTCATCAAATAACCCAGGAAACAAAAGATGAGTGTTACAGGAAAAAAAAATGCTTGCTTAATCAACATTACTGAGTTTACGTGTTTAATGATTGCAGATGTTCATTGAGGAAGTTATGGAACTTGTGGAACTAAAACCACTAAGGCACGCATTAGTTGGATTGCCTGGTCTTAACGGTCTCTCAACAGAGCAACGCAAAAGGTTGACCATTGCTGTTGAGCTAGTGGCAAATCCTTCTATAATATTCATGGATGAGCCAACTTCTGGGCTTGATGCAAGAGCTGCTGCTATTGTGATGAGAACAGTTAGGAACACAGTAGACACCGGAAGAACCGTTGTCTGTACCATCCATCAGCCAAGCATAGATATATTTGAATCTTTCGATGAGGTGAGATTAGCAGAACCAAGAAAGGCAACAATTTTTAGTTTGTTCTCTTCCATGACTGAGTTTTCTAATCTTTTTGTCACAATAAAATGCAGCTTTTGCTAATGAAGCAAGGAGGGCAAGAAATATATGTGGGGCCACTAGGACATCATTCTTCCCAGTTAATTAGTTACTTTGAGGTAGAAAATATGAATGCAATGAAAAAAGAAGGAATATTGAATCCATGTTTTGCTTCAAATCATTATCTTCATGTAAACATTTCGCTCATGTGCATACTTTTTAATCTTGAAGGGAATCCAAGGTGTCAATAACATTAAAGATGGCTACAATCCGGCAACATGGATGTTGGAAGTCTCAACATCAGCAAAAGAGATGGAATTGGGGATTGATTTTGCTGAGGTGTACAAAAATTCAGAGTTATACAGGTATTTTCAGCAGTTGTGTGGAGTCTAATCAAACTATAGAACTTGGAAAGAACCCCCTTCCAAGAACTTAGATGCAAAAAGAACTAGAAGATTTTGTTATAAATTGTTAATCACAGCATAAGATGTTTGCTAATATTTGATCTTTGGCATTTTGTTTCAGGGCAAACAAAGCACTTATTAAAGAATTGAGTACTCCAGCTCCCGGTTCCAGAGACCTTTATTTTCCTTCACAGTACTCAACCTCTTTCCTCACTCAATGCATGGCATGCTTATGGAAACAACATTGGTCTTACTGGCGCAATCCTCTATACACTGCCATAAGATTTCTTTACTCAACCTCTGTAGCTGTTGTTCTTGGTAGCATGTTTTGGGACCTTGGCTCTAAAATGTAAGATCAAACTGCAAAGTTGGAAATGTTATAGCTTCAAACTCTTATGGTCAGTAATTTGTATTTGGTCTAACAGTAAATTTTGACACCAATCTTTGCAGTGATAAGCAACAAGATCTTTTCAATGCCATGGGCTCCATGTATGCTGCTGTTCTCCTTATTGGCGTTAAGAATGCTAATGCTGTGCAGCCAGTGGTTGCTGTTGAACGAACAGTCTTTTATAGGGAAAAAGCTGCTGGAATGTATTCAGCTTTGCCATATGCTTTTGCTCAGGCAAGCAATCCCTCATTTTAAAAACTTGTTTTTTGAGTGTTGCTATATCCTCACAAATCATCATCACTGTTGGAACATCTGCCTCAATTTCTGGGGTGCAACTTATATCTCTACTGGACAATTTCACATAATGCAAATTTGTCTTAAGATAGAATCTAACAATCTTGATAATCTTTTTAATACTTAATAAAGAAAATATTAAATAAATAATAGATCCATTTAATATCTTACAAACATAGCCTATTCATTTTTTTCTAACATTTATTTCCTTTTGCAGGTTGTAATTGAGCTCCCATATGTTCTAGTACAAGCTGTGGTATATGGCATTATAATTTATGCCATGATTGGTTTTGAGTGGACTGTGACTAAAGTTTTCTGGTACCTATTCTTCATGTACTTCTCCTTCCTGACCTTCACCTACTATGGCATGATGTCAGTGGCAGCGACACCAAACCAACACATTTCTTCTATAGTTTCCTCTGCATTCTTTGCAGTATGGAATCTCTTCTCAGGATTCATAGTTCCACGACCAGTAAGTTTTGGCTCCCTTTCATATGTTTTCCTTGTGGATTTGTACTTTCCAAGCATAGAAGTATATACTAACTTATTTTTCCTTTATATATAATAATAACAGAGGATACCAGTGTGGTGGAGATGGTACACTTGGGCAAATCCAGTAGCTTGGAGTTTGTATGGATTAGTGGCTTCACAATATGGAGATATAAAGAAAAGCATTGAATCCACTGACGGGAGTACAACAGTGGAAGGTTTTGTAAGAAGTTACTTTGGTTTCAAGCATGATTTCCTGGGAGTGGTTGCAGCTGTAACTGTTGCATTTCCAGTAGTTTTTGCATTGGTCTTTGCCATATCAGTTAAGATGTTTAATTTCCAACGGCGTTAAGAACACATTCGAGTATTTTGCACAGGAAGCTCTATGTAACATTTTGTAAAAAAATATCCACATAGTTTTCTGTATTCTTTTATTTACCAATTAAATGTATCATAGTCGTAATCCACTAGAGCTCATCATAGGTTTAAACTTGTTTCCACTATTGTACACAGAAAAGAGTGTACCGTAGTCAATAATATATGTAACACTTGATATATTTAATGAATGCATATGTTACTTCATTCTTTTTATATAATATTAAGCATTGTGTAATCTATTAATTATTTAAAGATGCTAACTGATCATATGATATTTGATCTCTTCGTTTTAACACTGGACAACATTATATATATATATATATATCAAAACGATGTCGTTCTAAAGTAGCACGAGGAGGAGGACAAATTTCATGTCATACACGCATCTCATATGGCACTTACCCTGTATGTACTTTAGTTGGCGTTAAGTGTCCCTCTTTATAGGCACTGAAATGATAAATGCATTGAAAATGTAGGGACCTTAGGACCATTTTCTATCTTTCAAGGACTAAATATCTGACTCCTAATCTTTTATTAACCAAAATGATTATTTAATCTATTTTTTACGTTGCTCCTTTTACTCTGAAGGTCTAAGCTATCTACAATTGGAAAATATTATTGACTTGCAATAAAAAGAACATTGCTGCTTCAGAAAAAAAAAAAAAAAAAGAAATCTCTGACAACTGACAAGCTTACAGCACATGACAATGTTGTAAAAAGAAGGAATTTATAGAGGGAAAAAATCATAAATGAATGCAGTCTTGAGAAACCCTGGATGTCTCAAAATGCTGATGCTGAGAGCAGATTCATCCTATGAACTCTCAAGTAGTGCAGTGGCTTTGTCTTGCAAAATCTGCCACGCCATATCTACATGCTTCCTTTCTGTCAATGGTGCTCCTACTGCGAAACGAAGAACGTACTCACCTGATAAAACCTGCACAATTTGGTTATCATCAAGGGAAAGAAAGTGAGAACAAATGAGTGAATAAAGAACAAAACATTGAAGATAATTTACGCATACCGTGTGTGTTATGAAGGCATTTCCTGTTGAATTTACTGAGTCGAGTAGATCAGAATTGAGTTTATTGCCATGATCTTCAGAATTTAGAAGGGGCAACAGCCGAAAGCAAACTAAGGAGAATGTCCGGGGTGCAATGACCTGTGTACATAATTAGTTGCGATTTTTTCAAGGCAAACGCAGAGAAATAAATGAAGTACTTGAGAAAAGACACCCATAATTGGCATATTTTGACTTCAAACAGATTTAGATGGACACATTTTGACTATAGACATTCTCTAACACCAAGTTAATATTGTCCATATGACGGATATGCATTGAAATTAAGAATAAAGATTTTTCCCATAAGTAAGAATACCTTGAATCTTGTGTCCTGACCAACAAGCTCCTCAAAATAAGCAGCCATCTCAATGTGGTTTCTTATGTGACTTCGCAGACCTTCCAATCCATAAAGTCGCAACACCATCCACAGTTTTAATGATCTGGAGTCCAGTGTAGATGAATAGGCAATGTTACACATCTGCTGGTAATTTTAAATCTTTAAGGTGTTTTTATTAGAAAGAGATAATACCAATCATTTAATAAAAGTTATGACATCAGAAGTTCACATAAACTCTTAAATGGAGAAAAGGAAGAAAGAAACTCAAACGTACAAATTCATAAAATCCAAAAAAGCATTACAAATCATGATCACGGACAAATTATTGAATACATATAGTCATAATTGTATAAATGAGTTAGGATCCCCAGTGCATGAATAGTGCCAATTTATGTATGCCCATCCAGACGTGGATATGCATGAAAATTATCTCTATAAAATAATTCAACTTCAGATGAGGAAAGAGAATTCAATACCAAACACAAAAATAAAAATATATGTAATCTGTTAATAGAAAAGCAATGAAAATATTCCTCAAGGAAAACTTCGAAAGAACCACCTAAAGCGACGTCCAAGAGGTATTTGCCAATCTTTGTAATCTATAACCATGTTTCCTTGAGAGGCCTGCAAATTCAACAGCATAAGCAGAAATTAGACCAGGAATAAATAACAATAGCTGCGACCTTTCAAATGACAAGTTTCTTGTTTTAAGAAATATATCCCACATGACTCAGTTCCCTCAGATACGACCTAATCCATGAGAGGTAGAGGAAATTAACTTCACAGATATATAAGGAAAAAAATTGAAAATTAAATACCTCCAGGTTCTTTTCTTGGTGATCAAATAAGTATTTAATACACATTACTCATTGCATTTGAAGCACCTCTCTGTAGGAAGAGGAAAAAGAGGAAGAAGGACATCGCCGAAGCTGCAATTTTGTTTCTCTCTCTTATGATAACAATATTTTGTACCTTGATATATATTTGTTTACCATTGGATTCCTTTAAAGCAGAATGCTCCTTTCTTTAGGACTCAGTGAATCACAATTCATATTCTTCGATCTTCAATCTTATTCTAGAAAACCAACTTACTAATTTCATGTGATATTATCTATAATGAATAACCTTGATTGAATGCAATGTAATTTAAAAAAATAAAAATTAAAATTAAAAAAAAAAAAAACTATAAAAAAATCCACACACTGAAAAAAGAAGAAAAAATAGATTAAAAAGTTTGGAAACCCTCTTGCAATAAAACTTCAGTAGAAACATCAAGCGTTTTTCATTTTAAAGGAGTCTAAACATACTATCTGTACGGATACACGTCTTTACAACGATGGCCCAGCCAATAAAACTTCAGTACAAACATCAAGCGTGCAAAAAGAAACTTACCTTGTTTTTCAGAAATTCAGGATTTGTAGACAGTGATTGAATCAGAGAACTTCTGTCCTGTCATCAACTCATCATCAGTTTGACTTGCATGCATTCTTGTTTAAGAAAATTGAATGTTGTTACAAATAATTAATAAAGATGCAGAAGTGAAATTGAGGTAAAAAGAAATGCATTATGGATACCTTAACCCAAAGTACTGAACAGTCAAAATTAGTCAGGAACCATTTATGTGCATTCATGTTAAATGAGTCCGCTTCTTCAACACCATCAATGCAATGGCGGTACTCTGGACAAACACAAGCACTTCCAGCATAAGCAGCATCCACGTGAAACCAAAGTTTGTTGGTCTGCCAAAATGACATGCATCAGAGTATCAGCAGATCGTATAACTATAAAATGCATTCAAAAATCTTGTCAAACAAAATTTGATGGTCCATGGAGGTTTATGAATCAGTCATCCTGAAAGCATAAGCAGTGGATGATGGGCAAAAACAGTTGGAAAATTAATGTATCTAAATTTTCTTTCTTGCAACTCCACAAGTATCATTTTCTCCTTGAGTTCCTAAATCCTAACATACTGCATAGTCATTTCTTGTTTTCATCTGTCTAGATATGTTCCCAGTTCCTTATGAGTCATATCTTTTTTATTTAAAAAATAATTATAATTGTTTGGTTTAATATCCTTAACACAATGAATCAGTAGCTAAACTAGCTTGTTTTATTCACCAATTCAATCAAATATATTACCTTGGCAATTTTTCCCAATGCAGGCAAAGGATCAATAGCTGTTGATGAAGTGGTACCAACCTGCATATATAAATGTGGAGTGTATACAATCAATGCCGGAAAATTAATATCCACCAATAATAGACTCTAGAGTTGCCTCATGTTGATGCAAAGATTCAGCGTGTCTCCATTCATCAACATGAAATATAGAACCAACATTAATGCCGGGCAGAGTTTCAGTGATAAACATTTACCATGTTATTATCCATTTAGTACCATCTAAAGATTTAATATCTTATAAAAGTTAACTAGCATAATATTCAATATGAAATCTCTTGCATGTACAATTTAAGATCCAAAATGAAAGTTTTCATGAAACTAGGGTTACTAGCCTCAGGAATCACATCCATAATTGAACTGGACTAGAATATAGAAAGAAAACAAAAAGTATTAACAGGAAACTATATCTCTGGGTCTGTATCAATGGGAAACAAGATCAGAAATGAGAATGCAAGATGGTAATGCAGAATATAAGACATGTTACCCTCCTATTCTAGATATTTGCGAGACATGGACTCTGCCCATACTTTCAATCAATCAACAATTCCCCTAACTAACTCTCTTCAATCTCCTTTTATGTTCTATTCCATGTGTTACAACTCACCGTCTATCAGACATTTATTTCTCTTAGGAACAGACTGGGATCTTGGTCCCGTACTCTCTCCCCTTTGTTAATCGTAACATGAACCCATTAACAGGTACATAAAAATCTGTTCCCCAGCAACAAATAATGAAGTAACAAAGCTCTGATATGTTATCCCTTTATCTGATGCTCAGATGAGTTGAGCAATTTCTAATTTGAAAATTCAGTAAACAAGAATGATAAAATATTGGATGCAAGACAGACACACGCACGTTGACAATGGAAAGTTAAGATAAGCATTACATAGCAATTTGTAACATTTGTATAAGCCTTCAATTCTTACAGTAGCACATAAGAAAAAGGGTACAAGACCGCCAGCAATATCACTTGAAATTGCTTCAGAAAGTACATCAGGAGAAAGTGCATAATTTGTGGAAGAATCAGTTTTAAGCAACCTGCAAAGCTCTGGATTAAGTCCTGCTATCTGCCAATGAAAAAAACAAAACAAAACTGTTGCAATTAATCATAAAAATGATCTCATTGATAATAATGCAATCTTCAAGCATGCATCTAGCAACACAAAGGAAGACTCCCTTTCCAAAATGGAAGGTTCAAAACTAAGAGCCTAAGACATCACATGAATATAAGACAGCTAGTTTACCACATGAGTCATCTCAAGGGTAGAGAAGATTTTTTTTTATAGAAACAGTAAAATATAAAAAGACTAGAATCTCGATATCAGACTATCAATCAACAAGGTGATACTAAACAAACTTTTAATATAGTCACGGAAGAATAGGTTTTCTCCAACAATTCATTAACTACTAATAGGCAATAGAATAGGCGAAATAAGTTTGAACTTTGTGTGATCTTAGTTACAGCCAGATGTTATCAAGTGAATTAGTAACGCTGGCATATTCAAAGGTTTAGATCTAAAGAGCATGATAATCATATAATTAAGGAATCAAATAACCATTACATTTTTACCTACACAAGTTAAAAACTATATACTTTCTTCATTTGGAAAACTATTAACAAGACGACTATGATTATTGAATTAAAAGATAATCATTTCCTTTCCCTGGATAAAATAATAAACAGAACAGAATCAAGATAAATGGAAAAAGTAAAGGGCCTTTCTTAGTATTTGAGATTAGGATTTAATTCCACCTCACAGAGCTAATTTGAAAGGAGAGAATTACATTCATTATATCTCTAATCAATGTGAGATCTCACACACACCCTCACACCAAGGAATAAGGAAATTAGGAAACAAAAGTTAAATATATATATATATATATATATATATATGTGTGTGTGTGTGTGTGTGTGTGTGTGTTCAATATTTAAAATAAGTCAGAAAGCAATGAACACTTGTCAACAAGAGTTAACAATGGTCAACAGTAAACTTCACACTAAGAAGGAACATAATGGAACTCGTATCATTGAGTATATATGATAAAAAGGTCATTTTCATTTTGGAGGTACCTGACAAGCTTTTTGTAAAGCAGAATGTGTTTGATCAGATGCATACATCACAAGCTTTGGAAGGGCACTCCTTCCAACCCTCCTTAAGATCTTGTCACGGGCAGCTACTAAGACAACAAGTACAGCTTCACTTGCTGTCCCCTGTATAACTCCACCACCTTGCCCTGCAATAAAATCACATTCCATATTGCATGGGTTTACATATATAGTATTTGAGTTTTTCTATCAAATAAATTATTCATTTGACATTTAGGTTCAAATTTTTGTCATCTATGAAAATCATTCAAGTTGAAGGTTAATTAAAATCTCAAGCTTGAGTTTACAAGCTCATTCAAACTCAGGAGAAGTTTCATACACAAACCTACCTGAATGGGTCCTGATTCTTAAATTATGAAACTGTGCCATTTTTCTCCTCTTTTTATCTTTTGGTTAATAATAGGAAAATATCAATCAGGAAAAGTATAAAGGCAATATGAGTCCACATCCTATTAAAGAAGAAAAAGACAAGACAAAGAATGACTCATTCTAAAATAAAAGGCTCACAAAAGAACTTGTGGAGCCAGAAGGGAGGGACACAGGACATATCAATAAGACCTTCATCTATTATTTGCTTAATGACTTAGAAATATCTAGAGTACATCCCAAAATATCATAGTTATATTTTTAGATTAGTTTAGAGTATCTTAAATTGTCTCTTTAAGGTTCATTACCCTTTTTTCTTATTTTTCATTATTTGTTTTCTTATTTAATAAAGATTATGATTCTGGTATTAGTAACAACAAAGGTTAGTGCTTTATGTTTTGTAACACGTCCAACATATTCTCACATACCAGGTAAAAATATCAACTTCAAAGTATATACTCTACTTTTCTTCCCACAGTACCTAAACCCTATTTCAACAATTATCAATTAAAACACCCCATGAAAACACAACCTCTTCCATTTCATAGTTAAAAGAAAATATCCATGTTCTTTAACTTGAGCTTAAGAAACCAAAGACTCTGACCAAGTAGTGCATATTGTATCTTCACACATGATTTATTCAAAGAAATAAAGCAGCCCAAAACCTTACCACTAGAATAGAAATCATCAGGCAGCTGGAGCGCCTTTGCAAGCCAGTCCAGCACAATGGTTTCAAGTTCAGTTGCGGCAGGAGAAGTTATCCAACTGAAACCCACAATGTTAAGACCCGCGCTGAGCATCTCTCCTAGAAATCCAGCAATGCTACTATTGGAAGGAAAATAAGCAAAATAATTGGGGCTTTGCCAATGTGTGACCCCTGGGAGTATTTTTTCCTGTACATCTACAATATGACACATGCTAGCATTGCTCAAACAATTATACACCTTACGAAATCATGAAAATACAACTACTGTTACCACTAATAACAATAATACATTGCATAGAAAAGAAAACATTAACTCAGACAGACGGCAAGTAAGAAGTTTCACCATTCAAAACATTTTGCAATGAATCAGGATAATTTGGTGCAGAATCTGGTAAAAGCTTCCCAAGATAACCTGGCTGCAATAGGGGGAAATCTTTAAGCAACAAATTCACAAGATTACAAGCTAGACACAGGATGGGTCTGTTTAAGTAAACTTATCGAGAACTAGAAGCACTTCTGGAGGAAAAAAATAAGAAAAATAAAATAAAACAAGTTTGTGATAGAAAGCTAAAATGACTTGTATGAAGATGGTTTTATTAGAGAAACATAACGTGAGAATGAAATTGAAGAACCTGGACTTGGCTGAGAACGGGGAAAGTTTGGATGGTTTTGTAGTAATCAGCGATGAAGTCGACCATCTTATGAGCGTGGTCACGCAGTTGCTCAGCGTCCATGGGCATCAACCTACTTTCTTCCATGTGCAAAATTTGAAACACTGCAGAGTGCAGGGAATGTAAGCAAAGCACATTGAATGAAAATGAGATAAGTAACTGCGTTTAACACATTTGTTTGTGAATTGTGATAGAGAAGAAGGAGCGACCTCAAATTATCCTTCCTTGTACTCCGTCCAGACTCCAGATATTTGTGAATGGGATGAATGATGATCGCTACGTCCAACGTCTTTCAAAATAAATAAATATACTTAAATAAAAATATTAAAAAAGAAACTTAAACAAACAGATTCATTGCAACTATTACACAAGGGCTTTTAAAGAAATCAAAATTTATTATGTAGTTTTTATATTATTTTTGTTAGTTTATCAAATTAAATAATAATGACATAAATATATTTTTAATCTTTCAAATTTAAGATAAATTTATTTTTAGTTCTTAAATTTAATATTATTATTTTAGTCCAGTCATTTTCAAAAATCTTTTTTACTCTCTTAAGTCACTAATAACATATCTAAAAGTGACAAATCGTGACAGTTATGCAACATTAATTGAATTTAATGTAATATTTTCATTAACAGTAATATTAATAGGTAAATTTTATATGAAAATATTTAATAAATTCTCTATAAGGATTAAAATAAGATTTTTAAAAATTACATAGACTGAAAAGGTTAGTTTTAAATTCAAGAAACTAAAAACATATTTAAGCTAACAATAATATATATTTATAAGTCAAAAAAAAACATTTTTAACAAAAACTATTATGCTATATTTTTTTATTAATAAAAATGATAGATAAGAAATAACACCTCATGACTATTGGACAAGAAGTCAATAACACGTTGAAATCCCTAAATCAATCACCATTGTCTACTTAGTAATTAATTGAAATTCAGTAGTGTTTAGTTTAACAGGACTTTACTTGTCTACCTAGTATCTTCAAATTATTATTCAATTTTAACATATACATATAAGGTAATATGAAGTTATATAATTTAATAGCTAGATCGACAAAGTTTATGTTTAATATAAATTATTGACCAATGTAATAATTAATAAAAATTACAATTATACCGTTTGATATATATATATATATATATTATATATATATATATATACTAATATCTAAAAGGAATACCTTTTTCAGTAATTATCTCGGTCTCTATTTTTTTTACCATTATACCCATTTATTTTTAAAAATTAGAAAAAATATTTTTTAATCAAATTTAAGAACTTAAAACTAATGGATTATTCTAATACCAATTAGATCAATATACTTTTATTATTTAATTTTTATTTTTATTTAATTTTTAATAGAAGCACGAAATGCCTCGACTCCACTAATATTATATAAAGAGGATACATTTTGGTAACTACCCTTTTTGTCTCCATTTTTTAGTGAACGATTATGTCCCTTGAATGTAAAAAAAAATTCTTATATTTTATTTCTGAATAACTATCCACAATTTTTTATATTTATTTGTGTGTAATTATGAGATGTATGAAATATCTCGATTCCTCTAGTATAAATTAAAGTCGATATATTTAAGACACTACTTATCTATATTTTGCAAGGAAATGAAATAGTAAATACAAATACAACTTTAAAATTTATTTTAAAAAAAAATCAAACAAATCGCATTTAAGAAACATAATTTCTTATTGCCGAACACAACTCACTTCATTTTTAAAAAATAAATTAAAATTACCCATTTTCGAAATATTAGGGAAAAAAATTGCACCATATAAAAAAAAAGCCTCAATCAATTTTTCTGGCAAACATGATAGCAAAAATAATTAAAACATTTAAATATGAATTATCAATTTCACTTTAATTTTACAAAATAATTTTTATTCAAAATTAATTTTTACAAATATTGGTCCAAAACATTACTAATATGTCCAAATTAAATAAAAATTACGTCAGCATCGAAATGATACAGAAACTCCTTTTAATTGCTTCTGATGGACAATGAATCTGCATTGTGAAATTGTTCCAAACACACACTACCCTAGTAAAAAACGTACGTATGTAGTTTTGGTTCTAGAACCATGTATGCTGATTAGGAAATTAAATTCATTTCATCATCGGAAATAGACCAAAATCGGATACTTACATGGTTTTATTCTACAATTCATCTTCATCTTTTTTTTTTTGGTTATGACTAATAAGATATTCTAAGCATCTTACTAGACATATATTCCCATTGAGTGCTTAGAACAAATGTTAAGGTAGATTTGATTCTTATTCATATTGTCGAAAAATATCCTCTTCCGCGCCTGTTTAGCTGCATTTAAAAGATGGTTTTAATTTGATTCAAAATATGTTTACTGTACGATGAAAATATGTTTACCATGAAAATATGTTTTCAAAACTACAGTTTTTCATTATTACAAGATTCCAATGCAACTAAATTAAGAGAACATGTAAAATTAAATGCATGCATCTAATGCTTCTATGCGCATGCTCGTGGAAATATCTGCATACAAATCACGTGGAAGATCATCTCATTATACATATTGATCACAAAATTAAGAAGTTTGTCTTGAGAAAGAAATCATGTGGAAGATCAAGTCCCAAGATAATAAAATACAACAATTTTGAACTCCTTAATTTCACCATTGAGAAATACAATAATTGTTCGATGTAATGAGATACCTACTTGAGAAAGATTCAACCTTAAGCATAACATTGTATTGTGAACAAACCCATTTTTCAAGAAAGAGATAATCTCTTCACAAGAAGTATGTTTTGCAAGAAGAAATGTGTGAAAGAAAATAACGTTTTTCGAAAGTTAGACATTGAGTCAGAAAGTAAGCTCTGTAATTTGCCTACATAAGCATTAAGCACTAGAAAAGTGCTTAACTTGCAGAAAAGAGTTATTGAACATTGATTAAAAACTCATAACAGCTCATCAAGAAGCTATTAGCATGTCCAACTTTAAGACCTTAACATTCAATATTTCACTTTCTAAATGATGAATAAGTATTCTTACACTCATGAGGATACACATCCAATATTTGACTTCCGAAACACTTGTGGAAAGGCATAAGAAAGATGCACCCATGACTATATAATAAATAGTGCTCAACATCATAAAGTTATGCCAGAAGTAAACAATACTAAGGAGCCTTTTTATAGCTAAAAACATTCAATTGAAAGGTTGGTTCACCTTCAACTGTTAGACTTTAGCCTTGACTCCATAAATATGACTCGTGTGATACTAAATAGAATAAATTAAAGGAATCTAGAGACAAAAACACATTTCTTGTTAGTATTCGTCATCCTCAATCAATCAAGTAATCACTAAATCATTAAATGATTTATAAACTCAATTATTTATGTATACTTATATGATCCAAAAAATAATTTTCTCACTTCATATGTCTGATAATGATATATTATCATAAAAGGTTCTGGAGGACCTTGGTAATCTATATATATTTTTGTAAAATATTTTGGAGACATGGCTCCCCTGTGTGGTGTCATAAACGCTGGGTTACATTATTAGCGGTGGTGAGAACGTTTTCATAAAGAGTGAAGGTTCGATCTGAAACATCTTTCGAATTATTAAAATGTTAGTATTTTTTAACAAATTTATTATAAAATAATTATCTACTTTAATATTTTATAATTTAAATTAATATCTTAATCATTCTGAATGATTTTCGGATGATGCTACCTTATATCATTTTTCTTCCATAAATTAAGGTTGTTCGTACACTAGTACAATTCTAAATAAGATGAATGACAAGTTTCTTTCACTTTCAAGTATCCTCACCAATATACGCTATTGTTGACCCCAAATTTGTCTTCGTCATGTCAATATATGGCCAGTTAAATTTCTCTATTTTAATTCAATAATTGCATATGACATTGCCACTTCTTTTTGTACTTATTCACCAATTCGGAATTTGAAAGTTACGTATTCTATGTGCACAATTTTCTTAATGGGATTAATTTTTTTTATAAAAAAAAATCATAGTAATGATAATAAAAATCAAACTTTAAGTATTTGTATATTTATTTCAATTACTAATGATTAATTACATTTTTTATAATCTCATTAGAAGAATGATATTGTAAATCTTCACAAAAATATATATAAGATAACGAGAGAGAATACGTATTTAGAAAAGGAGAGGGAATGATATAAATTACATTGTGAATTAATTAGTTCAACTTTCATTTTTACCTAATTATACTCAAATTATTCTAAAATTCAAAATAAAATTTTATCATTTAAGTTTTTATCAAATTTCTTATTATTGTACTTCTATGTAACAAACCATGTCATTTAATGTGTGACAAGTCACTTAATATGTAATACATAACATGTCAACTCATGTGATAATTGACTATCTTAACTTTTGATTCATTGATAACAAAAATCAGTTTCTCCACAAAAATAAAATTGAGAACAAATTTGCCCTTTTTCATATTTTAAAAGATACTACGTTACTCTATAATAAAACACTTAAAACTATACAAAGAGAGGAATATTAAAATACAAAATCAATTATGGTGAAAGAAGTATTATCCATAATCAATGAAGACAAGGCATAACAAAATTTCGCACACTTTTTGTTCATTTTTTTAGTGAAATTTTTTCTTAGTAGGTCTCCTTTAATTTTTCTTGGCTTTTCCACAACTTTTTCACGGTTTAAAATCCATAAGTAATAAATTTTCTTGATTTTCATTCCTTTTCTTTTCACTACTCCAAATATAGCATTAAGATAACCATATATACAAATATTTTTGTGTGTAAAGTGTGTATATATATTGGGGAGAGGGGGGGACCAATGCCACCCCAAATTGCATGCATGCTACCCTTAACAACTCAACCCAAAGCCTTATAATGGATCAGACTAACTTGCTAAGTATGATCAAAGTCAACACTACTATCCAAGTGCAAGATTCTTACAATTCATCTCAGGACCGTATAAATAAAACAGACATAATCATTATTTTAAATAAACGTTACACTTCAAAGTTCAAACATGAGTCAAAATACAATTAAACAACACAGTTCGGTTCACAACAATTGAGAATTCAATTCAAATCAAATCAAGAGTACTCCTACACCTCAGACACAAACCATATATGGTTTAAAATATACAGTCCCTTATAGTATTTCTAACAATTATACACCAACCATGTAATTTTCTGGGACCTAGTAATTTAAAAAGTAGGTAATGAACTTTAATTAGTCGACTCACTCATTCA